GGGGGGGGGGGGGGGGGGGGGGGGGGGGGGGGGGGGGGGGGGGGGGGGGGGGGGGGGGGGGGGGGGGGGGGGGGGGGGGGGGGGGGGGGGGGGGGGGGGGGGGGGGGGGGGGGGGGGGGGGGGGGGAGTGACTGCAAGTACGTGCCAACTAATAAGTTTAGCTGTGTAGTTTCTATTCCCTTCTATACAGATTTACGATAGTGCAACTATGTTCATGAGACCCAAGGTCATTGCAACACTCACTAAAGGAACTCATTTTGAGCTAATGTGAGATCCCACTTCAGTTGGAGAAGAGAACAAAACATTCTTTATAAGGGTGTGAAAACATCTTCTTAATAAACACATTTTAAAATTTTTGAGTGGAAATCTGAAAGGGAAAGTCCAGAGAGGACAATTATCTCTGCCTACGGTGTACTTGGGTTGTGATAGCTAACTACACATGTAGTCTCTAGCCTGCCCTCATGACTAGTTTACAAAGTCATGACATCAACCTTTGACATGTTCTACACTCAATAGAAACTAGAAGATAGACCAATCTTGGTCAAGCTTGAAGGTATAGATTCTTGATTACCTACAACTTGACCAAGGCGTTACTTGGTTTGACCGTGGCCGCCAATTAGTGCTATGATGTACTCATGGAAATAGGAAATGATCTTGGCTCTATATAGGGAGGGCCACTGCGTGGTTGGCTAGCGGAAGGGACATGATTCATGACGTCATTCGTGGGGAGAAAATCAAATGAAAATGTAACGTCGGGCAAGACTTGAAGGTTGGCAGACCGCAACCAGAACTCGATGACCCAAAAAATCGCGCACAACCAGGTCTAGTAGCCCCCATCCAACTCGATTCCTAGTGACCCATGTATCAGCCTAAGAAATTTTAAGGGTTCCCAGCGCACGCCCCAAGATTCGAACTTCTCGTCATTGACCTCGAAATTGGCAATTGGTGCGCGCCATGTTGCATGTTGAAAAAATGGGAGTTTCGTCTCCGTATTAATAATGACCTTAATTTTACTTGAGTTAGGATCTACTAGTTAGTTTTCAAAAAATTTGGGGCTTCCAACTAGTGTAAAAGCAAGTTTCGAAGGGCATGCTTCATCCCTATAAATAACCACATGGACAATAGGCAAGTAATACTTGAAGGATTGCTAGGACGTATTAGCATGCGAACATAGTTTACTTTAGGTGGTTAGAATATACATTATTAGGACTTAGAATCTACAATTTGGATGAAAAGGATACCTATGCTACTAAGAAATTGCCTATAAAATGAGATATTGAGAAGCATGTCTATCTTAATGTCTTCTGCTATGTTAAAATGGAGGATGAGACTTTGTGATCTGTACTTCAAGTAATTGATGGATGTTATCTCCCCGTTTAGGTTGTTTGATTGCATGTATGATTTATTTTTTATAATTTCCATGCACTAGGCAGTTGATAGGAATACCTACCTAATAAACATGTACGGATGAGTAGAACACATTTTTCATGCTATAACAACAGCCCATACGTACAAAAAAAAAAAAAAAAAAAAA